ACTGTTACAACACAGAACACTGTTACAACACAGAACACTGTTACAACACAGAACACCACACTGTTACAACACAGAACACTGTTACAACACAGAACACCGCACTGTTACAACACGGAACACCACACTGTTACAACACAGAACACCGCACTGTTACAACACAGAACACTTCACTGTTACTACACAGAACCCCGCACTGTTACAACACAGAACACCGCACTGTTACAACACAGAACACCGCACTGTTACAACACAGAACACGGTTACAACACAGAACACCGCTCTGTTACAACACACAACACTGTTACAACACAGAACACCTCACTGTTACAACACAGAACACCACACTGTTACAACACAGAACACCGCACTGTTACAACACAGAACACCACACTGTTACAACACAGAACACTGTTACAACACAGAACATTGTTACAACACAGAACACCGCACTGTTACAACACAGAACACCGCACTGTTACAACACAGAACACTGTTACAACACAGAACACTGTTACAACACAGAACACCACACTGTTACAACACAGAACACAACACTGTTATAACACAGAACACCGCACTGTTACAACACAGAACACCGCTCTGTTACAACACAGAACACCGCACTGTTACAACACAAAACACTGTTACAACACAGAACACCACACTGTTACAACACAGAACACTGTTACAACACAGAACACCGCACTGTTACAACACGGAACACTGTTACAACACAGAACACCACACTGTTACAACACAGAACACTGTTACAACACAGAACACTGTTACAACACAGAACACCACACTGTTACAACACAGAACACAACACTGTTATAACACAGAACACCGCACTGTTACAACACAGAACACCGCTCTGTTACAACACAGAACACCGCACTGTTACAACACAAAACACTGTTACAACACAGAACACCGCACTGTTACAACACAGAACACTGTTACAACACAGAACACTGTTACAACACAGAACACCGCTCTGTTACAACACACAACACTGTTACAACACAGAACACCTCACTGTTACAACACAGAACACCACACTGTTACAACACAGAACACCGCACTGTTACAACACAGAACACCGCACTGTTACAACACAGAACACTGTTACAACACAGAACACTGTTACAACACAGAACACCGCACTGTTACAACACGGAACACAACACTGTTACAACACAGAACACCGCACTGTTACAACACAGAACAGCGCTCTGTTACAACACAGAACACCGCTCTGTTACAACACAGAACACCGCACTGTTACAACACAGAACACTGTTACAACACAGAACACTGTTACAACACAGAACACCACACTGTTACAACACAGAACACTGTTACAACACAGAACACCGCACTGTTACAACACGGAACACTGTTACAACACAGAACACCGCACTGTTACAACATGGAACACCACACTGTTACAACACAGAACACCGCACTGTTACAACACAGAACACTTCACTGTTACAACACAGAACCCCGCACTGTTACAACACAGAACACCGCACTGTTACAACACAGAACACGGTTACAACACAGAACACCACTCTGTTACAACACACAACACTGTTACAACACAGAACACCTCACTGTTACAACACAGAACACCACACTGTTACAACACAGAACACCGCACTGTTACAACACAGAACACCACACTGTTACAACACAGAACACTGTTACAACACAGAACACCACACTGTTACAACACAGAACACCGCACTGTTACAACACAGAACACCGCACTGTTACAACACAGAACATTGTTACAACACAGAACACCGCACTGTTACAACACAGAACACCGCACTGTTACAACACAGAACACAACACTGTTACAACACAGAACACCGCTCTGTTACAACACAGAACACTGTTACAACACAGAACACTGTTACAACACGGAGCACCGCGCCGTTACAACACAGAACACCACACTGTTACAACACAGAACACCACACTGTTACAACACAGAACACTGTTACAACACAGAACACTGTTACAACACAGAACACCACACTGTTACAACACAGAACACAACACTGTTATAACACAGAACACCGCACTGTTACAACACAGAACATTGTTACAACACAGAACACCGCTCTGTTACAACACAGAACACTGTTACAACACAGAACACCGCTCTGTTACAACACAGAACACTGTTACAACACAGAACACCACACTGTTACAACACAGAACACCGCTCTGTTACAACACAGAACACTGTTACAACACAGAACACCACACTGTTACAACACAGAACACCGCTCTGTTACAACACAGAACACCGCACTGTTACAACACAGAACACCGCTCTGTTACAACACAGAACACTGTTACAACACAGAACACAACACTGTTACAACACAGAACACCGCACTGAGGAGCTCACAAATCCTTGAAAGATCTGGGCAGGGTCCCATCGGTGAGCTCCTCCGGCAGGCAAGGCTGCGATGGCTGGGTCATGTAGCCCGCATGCCCAGCCACCGCATGCCGAAACAGCTTTTGTGTGGCCGGATTGAGGGGGCTAAGCGGGCGCGGCACGGGCTAGAGAAGAGATGGAGTGATGTGGTACAGGAGGACGTGGAGCTGAGTGGATTTGCCGATGACTGGTACCAGCGGTGTCAAGATCGGGCTCTGTGGAGGAGGCTCGTGAAGGATGCTACTGGGCAGTTGGAGGCAGTCGCCCTCCAACAACAACGGAAGGCGGAGGAGCGACGCTCACAACAACGAGCGGAGCGCCGGGTGGCTAAAGCACAGCAGGTTGGCACAGTAGGGGGCACAGGTGGTGCATCAGCCAGTCATCTAAGTCAGTCGACCCGTGGCACCTGGGTCTGCCCAGTGACCTCCTGCCAGCGGGCGTTCGACACTTCACGTGGCCTCACGGTGCACATAGCCTGGCACAAGCGTCGTGGTGACGTCACCGCCACTTAGTGGCGAATGGCGGTTGTTGTTGTTGTATGTGTCTGTGTGTGTGTAGAAGTGTAACACATTGTAGTGTAGTGGTTAGCGTGCTGTGTGTATGTGGAAGTGTAACGCATTGTAGTGTAGTGGTTAGCGTGCTGTGTGTGTGTGTAATCTGTGTGTGTGTGTAATCTGTGTGTGTGTGGAAGCGTAACGCACTGTAGTGTAGTGGTTAGCGTGCTGTGTGTGTGTGTAATCTGTGTGTGTGTGTGTGAAATCTGTGTGTGTGTATGTGTAATCTGTGTGTGTGTAATCTGTGTGTGTGTGTGTCTGTGTATGTGTGTAATCTGTATGTATGTGTGTATGTGTGTGTGTAATCTGTGTGTGTCTGTGTATCTGTGTGTGTGTGTGTGGAAGTGTAACGCATTGTAGTGTAGCGGTTAGCGCGCCGCGCTACGAACCCGGCGACCCGAGTTCGATTCCCGCTCACGGCCACCACCGGTGACGATGATTTCCACCGCTCCTGGGCCTCCCCTAGGTCGACTCAGCCTCAACCGAGTAACTGCTGTGGTGTGTGAACATCGCCACTGGGGAGACAAAGGCGGCCGCGCGTGGTGGATCCAAGTCCCGGGCGAAGCCGGGGGGGGGTAGCACAGCTAGTTCCAAATAAATGAAACTGAAACTTCCCTGAGTTGTTTGCCCCGCCATCTCACCGCGTGGTGTGCGTAGCAGCGTTAGTAGTAGCACCTCGTATCTCGCCAGACTTCATCATCGCTGTATTATGTACAGGGAAATGGTTTTCGCTTGACGCGTTTTTTTCGATTAAGTAGGTTGCATTTTTCTCGTTGCCGTTCGTGACCTGGCCGTCACAGAATGATAGCCCCACGGAGTGGGCGGCCATAATACCCTAAACGTGTGACGTTGATTTTAAGGTGCGGAAGGGGGGAAAAACCGGAGGGCCTGGAGAAAAATCCGTGCGATCGCAGGAAGACAGAGACACGCAAACTCCAAACATACAGCGGGCGACACGGCCTGATTCGAACCCACGACCTCCTAGCCACCGTGGCGCCCTGAAACCCATCCACTGAGGACTTCCGGTCGACTTCCACACACCCACAGAGTTGGCGTTATGGGTTTTGCCGTGGGAGATGGAGCCACGGAATTAGCTCGCTCGTGTGCGTGTGCGTGGGGGTGGGGGTGGGGTCTTCTCGCATCGTTGCTATTGATGGTGGGGTCGGCAAGAAAGCGCTGTTGGCAGTCGCCTCGGCACGTCACCGCCTTGTCTACGAGTCGCAGGCCAGTTGTGTTCCACCGGCGTGTGAGCTCGGGTTGAGCACAGATTGAGCATGGGTTGAGCTCGGATTGAGCACGGATTGAGCACGGATCTAGCACAGATTAAGCACGAATTGAGCACGGCTAATCCCCCATCTGTCTGTGTCTCGCCAAATTACCTCCACCCACCACCTGCCAACTCCTGACTCCTCCTGCACACCTTCTCCCACCTACACCTCCTCTGACCACAATCTCCTCCCACTATCTCCTCCAGTATCTCCTCCCACCATCTCCTCCATCTCCTCCCACTATCTCCTCCCACCTCCTCCCACCATCTCCTCCATCTCCTCCCACCATCTCCCACCATCTCCTCCACCTCCTCCTACTATCTGCTCCACCATCTCCTCCCACCTCCTCCCACCATCTCCTCCATCTCCCCCACCATCTCCTCCATCCCCCCCCACCATCTCCTCCCACCATCTCCTCCATCCCCCCCCACCATCTCCTCCCACCATCTCCTCCATCTCCCCCCACCATCTCCTCCCACCATCTCCTCCATCTCCTCCCACCATCTCCTCCAACCATCTCCTCCATCTCCTCCCACCATCTCCTCCCACCATCTCCTCCATCTCCTCCCACCATCTCCTCCATCCCCCCCACCATCTCCTCCCACCATCTCCTCCCACCTCCTCCCACCATCTCCTCCCACCCCCTCCCACCATTTCCTCCTCCTCCCCCCTCCTCCCCCCCCCCCCCCCCCCCCGCCAACCCCTCTCCCCACCCCACAGGACGTGAGCTCCGCTGGGCTGCATCTGCGCTACGCCATCTATGGCCACGGCTGCTCGGCCTCCTCCGAGCGCGGCGCCAAAGCCGCCGCCGCCGCCGCTGAGCGTGCCATGCTAACGGCTGCGTCCGGCGGCGGCGGCGGCGGCGGCGGCACCGGCGGTGCCTACGACTCGTCGTCCGTCCACTTGCCGCGCTTCCTCGGCAGGATGTGCCGCAACCCAATCTACGCGCCGCCACGCGCCGAGTGGATGAGTCCCAGCTCGGCCGGGGCCACCGTGGGTGGAATCATCACGGGCACCGCCACCGCCGCCACCACCTCCACCACCACCACCACCACCGGCGCCACCGCCGCCACCCTGGCCGACATCTCGCCGGGCCGACTGATATTGTCGCACCTTCCCGGCGACGGCATGGTTGGCCACCACCACCACCAATACCACCAATATCACCACCTCCTCCACCATCAACAGCAACATCAACATCACCAACATCAGCAGCAGCTCATACTGGACGACCACCACTTCCAGCATCTTCAGCATCTACACGAGCGACACCACCTCCTGCTGCAGCAGCAGGAGCACCAGCAGCACCAGCAGCACCAGCAGCAGCAGCAGGAGTTCCTGCTGGAGGTAGAAGCCGGACTGCGTCGGCAGGAGCTGAAGATTTGCGAGGCCATCACTCTGGCCGGTGTCGTGGAGTTACCGCAGCAGCAGCAGCAGCAGCTGCAGATGCAACAGCAGGCGCCACGGTTGCTGGAGGCTGGCTGTCTGCTGGAGGCGAGCGGAGCCGAGTACCTGGAACTGCGAGCGAAAGTCCACGCGGACACGGACTACCTGGAGGTGCTGGAGAGGCAGGCGACGCTCCACCAGGCATAGCGAGGAGAGAGGCGGAGTTTAGGTAGAGAGCGAAGGGAGGGAGGGAGGAAGGGAGGAAGGGGCACACGGGGTCTGTGGGTACACGGGGCCTGGGACACGGGACATGGGACTTGGGTCTTGGGACACGGGATGCAGGGCCTGAGACACGGAACATGGGGCCTGGGACACGGGACATGGGACGTGAGACACGGAACCTGGGACGCGGGATCCTGAACACGGGGCACACAGGACAAGAGACACGGGAACGGGACGTGGGACACAGGGCACGTGACAGGATACGCGAATTGGGGGGCGTGGAACCTGGGAGCTAGGAAATGGGACGCGAGACCCTGGACATGGAACATGCGACACGGGACCATGGACACAGGCGCTCGTACGGCCTACGATTCTACCGGTGTTGGCGAGCAGTGAGAGGTGTGAGATTCTCTGGTAGTGGCGTGAGACCCGGAGTACAGATGGAGAGGTACCCTGGTAGTGGTGTGAGACCCGGAGTACAGATGGAGAGATTGCCTGGTAGTGGCGTGAGACCTGGAGTACAGATGGAGAGATTCTCTGGTAGTGGCGTGAGACCCGGAGTACAGATGGAGAGATTGCCTGGTAGTGGTGTGAGACCCGGAGTACAGATGCAGAGATTCTCTGGTAGTGGTGTGAGACTTGGAGTACAGATGGAGAGATTCTCTGGTAGTGGCGTGAGACCCGGAGTACAGATGGAGAGGTACTCTGGTAGTGGCGTGAGACCCGGAGTACAGATGGAGAGGTACTCTGGTAGTGGCGTGAGACCCGGAGTACAGATGGAGAGGTACTCTGGTAGTGGCGTGAGACCCGGAGTACAGATGGAGAGATTGCCTGGTAGTGGGGTGAGACCCGGAGTACAGACTGAGAGATTGCCTGGTAGTGGCGTGAGACCCGGAGTACAGATGGAGAGATACTCTGGTAGTGGTGTGAGACCCGGAGTACAGATGGAGAGATTCTCTGGTAGTGGCGTGAGACCCGGAGTACAGATGGAGAGGAACCCTGGTAGTGGCGTGAGACCCGGAGTACAGATGGAGAGATACTCTGGTAGTGGCGTGAGACCCGGAGTACAGATGGAGAGGTACCCTGGTAGTGGTGTGAGACCCGGAGTACAGATGGAGAGATTGCCTGGTAGTGGCGTGAGACCCGGAGTACAGATGGAGAGATTCTCTGGTAGTGGCGTGAGACCCGGAGTACAGATGGAGAGGTACCCTGGTAGTGGTGTGAGACCCGGAGTACAGATGGAGAGATTGCCTGGTAGTGGCGTGAGACCTGGAGAACAGATCGAGAGATTCTCTGGTAGTGGCGTGAGACCCAGAGTACAGATGGAGAGATACTCTGGTAGTGGAGTGAGACCCGGAGTACAGATGGAGAGATTGCCTGGTCGTGGCGTGAGACCCGGAGCACAGATGGAGAGGTACCCTGGTAGTGGTGTGAGACCCGGAGTACAGATCGAGAGATTCTCTGGTAGTGGCGTGAGACCCGGAGTACAGATGGAGAGATACTCTGGTAGTGGAGTGAGACCCGGAGTACAGATGGAGAGATTGCCTGGTAGTGGCGTGAGACCCGGAGTACAGATGGAGAGGTACCCTGGTAGTGGTGTGAGACCCGGAGTACAGATCGAGAGATTCTCTGGTAGTGGTGTGAGACTTGGAGTAAAGATGGAGAGATTGTCTCGTAGTGGTGTGAGACCGGAGTACAGATGGAGAGATACTCTGGTAGTGGTGTGAGACCCGGAGTACAGATGGAGAGATTACCTGGTAGTGGTGTGAGACCCGGAGTACAGATGGAGAGATACTCCGGTAGTTGCGTGAGACCCGGAGTACAGATGAAGAGATTATCTGGTAGTGGCGTGAGATCCGGAGTACAGATCGAGAGATTTTCTGGTAGTGGCGTGAGACCCGGAGTACAGAGGGAAAGATTGCCTGGGGTTGGCGTGAGACCCGGACTACAGATGGAGAGATTGCCTGGTAGTGGCGTGAGACCCGGAGTACAGACGGAGAGATTGTCTGATAGTGGCGTGAGACCCGGAGTACAGATGGAGAGATTCTCTGGTAGTGGCGTGATACCCGGAGTACAGATGGAGAGATTGCCTGGGGTTGGCTCTCAGATCCGAGGTTCGAATCCATGTTTCTGCCAACCGTGATTAAACCGGGTTCTCAAGTGCAGTGAGAGAGACCCATAGACTCACATCAAAAACCCAGGAAGGCGCACAGAAACCCATAGCCTCACACGGAGACCCCATAGACTCACACAAAGACCCATAAACTCACACAGGGACCCATAGACTCACACAGAGACCCATAGACTCACACAGAGACCCATGCTCACACAGAGATCATTCTCATACAGAGACCCATAGGCTCACACAGAGACCCATAAACTCACACAGAGACCCATAGACTCACACAGAGACCCATAGACTCACACAGAGACCCATACTCACTCAGCAATCCATTCTCATTCAGAGACCCATAGACTCACACAGAGACCCATAGACTCACACAGAGACCCATAGACTCACACAGAGACCCATACTCACTCAGCAATCCATTCTCATTCGGAGACCCATAGACTCACACAGAGACCCATCGACGCTCACAGAGACCCATGCTCACACAGATATCATTCTCATACAGAGACCCATAGACTCACACAGAGACCCATAAACTCACACAGAGACCCATAGACTCACACAGAGACCCATTGACTCACACAGAGACCCATAGACTCATACAGAGACCCATTGACTCACACAGAGACCCATAGACTCACACAGAGACCTATAGACTCACACAGAGACCCATAGACTCACACAGACTGAGTGATGATTAAACTGGCTTCTCAAGTGTGGCGAGTTGATGGTCTCAGCCCGGTCACCAATGACCACACGAAAAAAAAACACATCACAACACATTTGGTTCTGCACTGACTTTAGCAAAATTCCATCTTCCGAGAAGTGCGGTAAAAAAACAATGGTTTGACCCAGCATGCAATGAGCATCACTGTCATATGGCACAGCGATTGGGAACAGCGCTTCTCCGCCACTGTGTGTGTGTGTGGACCAGAGGCAACTTGAAGAATGGGATCGCAGACGTGGCCCTGCGGGCCGTTCTGCGCGTGGACTCGCAGGAGGAGATGATCTCGGAGCTAGCTCTGTGATGTCAACTTCCTGCGGGCCGTTCTGCGCGTGGACTCGCAGGAGGAGATGATCTCGGAGCTAGCTCTGTGATGTCAACTTCCTGCGGGCCGTTCTGCGCGTGGACTTGCAGGAGGAGATGATCTCGGAGCTAGATCTGTGATATCAACTTCCTGCGGGCCGTTCTGCGCGTGGACTTGCAGGAGGAGATGATCTCGGAGCTAGCTCTGTGGTATCAACTTCCTGCGGGCCGTTCTGCGCGTGGACTCGCAGGAGGAGATGATCTCGGAGCTAGCTCTGTGATATCAACTTCCTGCGGGCCGTTCTGCGCGTGGACTTGCAGGAGGAGATGATCTCGGAGCTAGCTCTGTGGTATCAACTTCCTGCGGGCCGTTCTGCGCGTGGACTCGCAGGAGGAGATGATCTCGGAGCTAGATCTGTGATATCAACTTCCTGCGGGCCGTTCTGCGCGTGGACTTGCAGGAAGAGATCATCTCGGAGCTAGCTCTGTGGTATCAACTTCCTGCGGGCCTTCATGTGCGTAGACCGGAGTGTCATCCTGAAAAAGAGGATGTTAGAGCCAGCTCTATGGGAGGCACTTCCACGGGCCATTCTCTGTACAGACCAGAGTGTCACCCGAAGAAGAAGAAGAAAAGGATATCGGAGCTTGCTCTACGAGATCAACTTCCGTGAAAGATTCTCGTCACGTGACGACACCAGGCCGACGTCAGCGCAATCGCGATGACGTTTGTGGGGGGGGGGGGAGGTGGTTGGTTTAGAGAGGGGGGGGGAGGTGTGGGATAATAGGGGGAGAGGTGGAGGAGGCGAGGTGATTTAGGTTCAATAATCTTCAAGTTTCACATCCCACGACAGCCCACCCACCCCAGTAATTCATTGGCGGATGGAGTCTTAGAGTGGTCGTGACGGAGGAAGTTTCGCGCACTCGAACTTGAAGTCGGCGGGCGAGCGGTGGGGTAGAATGTGGTCACACTCCCCCCCCCCCCCCCTTTGCGGGACGAGGTCATTCTGAGCAGTGTGGGGAGAAGAGTGACTGCCCAAGAGAGAATGTTACAGAGACAGAGAGAGAGACAGACTGTGAACCTATCTCTCTACTCTAGACTCTCTCTCTCTAGAGAGAGATTGTGAGTCTCTCTCTACACTCTAGAGAGAGTCTAGAGTGTAGAGAGAGAGTGAGTCTCTCTCGTGAGAGTCTAGAGAGATTGTGAGTCTCTCTCTCTCTACACTCTAGAGAGAGTCTAGAGAGAGACTGTGAACCTATCTCTCTACTCTAGACTCCCTCTAGACTCTAGAGAGAGAGAGTCTAGAGAGATTGTGAGTCTCTCTCTACATTCTAGAGAGAGACTAGAGACAGACTGTGAACCTATCTCTCTACTCTAGACTCTCTCTACACTCTATAGAGAGAGTGTGAGCTTCTCTCGTGAGAGTCTAGAGAGATTGTGAGTCTCTCTCTCTACACTCTAGAGAGCGTCTAGAGAGAGACTGTGAACCTATCTCTCTACTCTAGACTCCCTCTAGACTCTATAGAGAGAGTCTAGAGTGTATAGAGATTGTGAGTCTCTCTCTCTACACTCTAGAGAGAGAGTCTAGAGTGTAAAGAGAGAGTGAGTCTCTCTCGTGAGAGTCTAGAGAGATTGTGAGTCTCTCTCTCTCTCTACACTCTAGAGAGAGTCTAGAGAGAGACTGTGAACCTATCTCTCTACTCTAGACTCTCTCTACACTCTATAGAGAGAGTCTAGAGAGATTGTGAGTCTCTCTCTACATTCTAGAGAGAGACTAGAGACAGACTGTGAACCTATCTCTCTACTCTAGACTCTCTCTACACTCTAGAGAGTGTGCGATTCTCTCGTGAGAGTCTAGAGAGAGATTGTGAGTCTCTCTCTACACTCTAGAGAGAGAGTCTAGAGTGTAGAGAGGGAGTGAGTCTCTCTCTACACTCTAGAGAGAGATTCTAGAGTGTAGAGAGAGAGTGAGTCTCTCTCTACACTCTAGAGAGAACGTCTAGAGTGTAGAGAGAGTGAGTCTCTCTCGTGAGAGTCTAGAGAGATTGTGAGTCTCTCTCTCTACACTCTAGAGCGCGTCTAGAGAGAGACTGTGAACCTATCTCTCTACTCTAGACTCCCTCTAGACTCTATAGAGAGTGTGAGCTTCTCTCGTGAGAGTGTAGAGAGAGACTGTGAACCTATCTCTCTACTCTAGACTCTCTCTACACTCTAGAGAGATTGTGAGTCCCCCTATCTCTCACTCTCTACTCTAGAAAGAATGTGAGCTTCTCTCGTGAGAGTCTAGAGAGATTGTGAGTCTCTCGCTCTCTACTCTAGAGAGAGTCTAGAGAGAGACTGTGAACCTATCTCTCTACTCTAGGCTCTCTCTAGACTCTATAGAGAGAGTGTGAGCTTCTCTCGTGAGAGTGTAGAGAGAGACTGTGAACCTATCTCTCTACTCTAGACTCTCTCTACACTCTACAGAGATTGTGAGTCCCCCTATCTCTCACTCTCTACTCTAGAAAGAGTGTGAGCTTCTCTCGTGAGAGTCTAGAGAGATTGTGAGTCTCTCGCTCTCTACTCTAGAGAGAGTCTAGAGAGAGACTGTGAACCTATCTCTCTACTCTAGGCTCTCTCTAGACTCTATAAAGAGAGTGTGAGCTTCTCTCGTGACCGTCTAGAGAGATTATGAGTCTCTCTCTACACTCTAAAGAGAGTGAGTTTCTCTCTACACTCTAGAGAGAGAGTCTAGAGTGTAGAGAGAGAGTGAGTCTCTCTCGTGAGAGTCTAGAGAGATTGTGAGTCTCTCTCTACACTCTAGAGAGAGAGTGTGAGCTTCTCTCGTGAGAGTGTAGAGAGAGACTGTGAACCTATCTCTCTACTCTAGACTCCCTCTAGACTCTAGAGAGTGAGACTCTAGATAGATTGTGAGTCTCTCTCTAGACTCTATAGAGAGAGTGTGAGCTTCTCTCGTGACCGTCTAGAGAGATTGTGAGTCTCTCTCTACACTCAAGAGAGAGAGTGTGAGCTTCTCTCGTGAGAGTGTAGAGAGAGACTGTGAACCTATCTCTCTACTCTAGACTCCCTCTAGACTCTAGAGAGAGAGAGACTCTAGATAGATTGTGAGTCTCTCTCTACACTCTATAGAGAGAGTGTGAGCTTCTCTCGTGAGAGTGTAGAGAGAGACTGTGAACCTATCTCTCTACTCTAGACTCTCTCTAGACTCTATAGAGAGAGTGTGAGCTTCTCTCGTGAGAGTCTAGAGACATTGTGAGTCTCTCTCTACACTCTATAGAGAGAGTGTGACCTTCTCTCGTGAGAGTGTAGAGAGAGACTGTGAACCTATCTCTCTACTCTAGACTCCCTCTAGACTCTAGAGAGAGAGACTC